AGCCTCACGATGGAACCTTCCCGCAAGTCCAGCCTGCGGAGATTAGGATACCTGTACAGCCAGCATTATAATTCAGGAAAGGCCATCTTTGCCGCTGGAAGCCGATATGTCTTTGGGAACTCGGGCCTGGAAACCCTGGCCCTTGATCCGGGGCTGGTCCGGACCTGGGAACATGTCGGTCGCGCGGTCAGCCACTCTCCATTAGCCCTGCTGCGGGCGTACTGCCACACCAAGCACCGATGCCATGTCGCGTTGACCGACTGCCGCAATCGCACGTACGGCATCCGCGAAGAGTACCGGGTTACCGGAGCGCTTCTGGTCGCCCTTGACGAACGGATGCAATCCCTGGGGATCGCCAGCCAGGCGCTGACGGTGCCCAATGAATCCCCTGCCCGGTCCTCGCCGAGGTCATTCCCACACCACCGATTTCCATTCTTCTGCCACAAGACTGGTCTTATACTGGACTGGCTGCGCTGGAACATCAACAAGTTCTGCCTAGGGTTTGAAATGGTGTACAGCCTCCAGCCGCGTACCCTGGTCCACTGGGAGCACACACGGGTTATGATGATGTTTCTTCGGTGCCTGCTCTACACGTATGGCGGCCAGGGAGCTCATCCCCGCCGCTGCAATGGACTGTGGCTTGACCGTCGTGTCCGACCACCCGCGGAGGGCTCTGACCAGGAGCGGGTCGATGAGGGTTTGGGCATGGAGCAGGCGCTCCACTCCTATGGGTATGCCTGGCTACCGGAGCACAAGATCGACTGGGCTTCCATGATGTTTAGACCGCCCCATCGGGCGCACATGGTCTTCAACACGCCCCATCTCTTGACTGCCTACCACAGTCGATACCGCGAGCTCGTCCGAGTCCACAGTGACTTCGTTATCTTCCATGATGTGTTCACACGGATGCATGCCCTGCGGGAGGACTTTCCCCGATCTGCCCTGCTCCTGCAACTGTTGGTGGATCTCTGCCTGCAAGCGTTCCGGAAGGATGTATTCGAGGCTCTCGAGCGAAGCCGCCCGGCACAGCCCTT